TCTGTTTTATTTCAAGGCTCATATAACACGGAGCCCCCACAGCGGCCGGATTCCTACGGGACAGGACGTTATTCGTCAACAACTCCGGCTGTAGTCACGACCCAAAAAGTGGCCATCCTTAAAGCGACCTTGGCATGTCTCTACAGCGTGGTGCAAAAAAATGTTTGGAAGGGGTCGTTTGTTTAGCGCGGGTAGGGCGTTGAAGGTCAAATTGCGAGGGATCTTGTACGCAAAAATTCCGAACAACGTTGGACGTTGACCTATGATGGGGCGTGCACAGGTGGCCAGTGGGGCACGTTATGGGAGGTTATGCCTGCGCATAACCTGCCCAGGTTGGATATACTCGGTATAACGTCTTCATCCTGGGTTACCAACCGCCGGTTTTCTATCGGATTAGGAAATCAATTTTAACCTTGCCTTGTCGGGCTGGCAACCTCAATCCAAAACAAATGGGTGCAAGCTCGCCCGCGGCTGGGTGCCAATACAGCGACGCGAGGCTTCGCGTCGAGGCCACAGGAACAATCCCACACAAGGATTACGAAGCACACACACACGGAGTATACCACACGAGGATGATGATTGGGCCAAAAATAAAAAAAAAATGGTACTCCCTCACGTCCGAAACGTGAGCTCGATCACGTAAGCCGGGGGATCCCGCACATAGTTAAAGTACGCCGGGGAGAGGGGCGAAATTATCTCGAAGGCGAATGACATACATACGCGTAGTAAGGAGGAGGTCGGGGGTTCGATCGCCGCAAAATATATATATATTTTTTTCCCCCAAACCAACAAATTATACGCGAAATTTCGAAATTTCTCGCGAGGGCATAGGCATATGATATGCGTAGTACGGAGGAGGTCGGTACTTCCTTCCCCGGGAAACATTTTTTTTCTTCCCGAAACCAAAAAAGTAAGCGCGAAATTAATCGCGAAGGCGTATGACAAGCGTAGTACTTGTAAGGAGGAGGTCGCGAGTTCGATCCCCGCAAAACATGTTTTTTGTTTTTCCCAAAACCAACAAATTATGCGCGAAATTTCGAAATTTCTCGCGAAGGTGTAGGCATATGATATGCGTAGTATGGAGGAGGTCGATACTTCGGTCCCCGCGAAAAAAAAAATTCTTCCCAAAACCAAAAAAAGTAAGCGCAAAATTTATCGCGAAGGCGTATGATACGCGTAGTAAGGAGGAGGTCGGGAGTTCGATCCCCGCAAAACATGTTTTTTTTTCCCCAAAACCAAAAAAATACTCCAAGAGCATCTATTTACATAAAAACACACACACACGTTTAGGCCTCTCCGAATGATTCATTTTTCCAACCTGACGCTTTGCTTACGGTCAACACCAAAGACAACCACGACAATCGAAAATGGGGCGTCTACAGCCATACCGTAGTGGCTGTGCCCTTCCTGCCATGACCTTCCTCGCGAAAACATCCCGACCCGCCTGTCCCCCAAAGAGGCTCTGGTGGGCCCGGAAGTGCTTTTTGCAGAGGCTGCCCCCGACAATACACGTCCTAAAAGCAAGGAGAATCATTTTCCACCGCAGCTCAGCCCCGCGGCGTGGCCTTCCGCCCTCATCCCGCGCTCATCCCGCACCTCTTGCGCTTCCCCCGCCCTCCCGCTTGACTCCGCCCAACGAGACCCGCGACTCGAGAAGTCGATAAAAAACAGGGGGAAAATCTGTAGAGCACCGGAATGTCATCTACGTGTATCCCCATCCTGAGACCTGATTGATTACAGAGTAGGAGCGTGGAATTGCGCGACGGAAGTGGAGGGAGGGGTACCTCGTCAGTAGGGTCCGGGAATCAAAGAGCGGGTCATAGCCTCCGGAATGTTGTTGTTGCTGCCTGCCTCCAACATGAAGCAATCCCTACGAGTACAGATAGCGCGGACGACTCCGTGGTCACAGCTTGGAAGCTACCTATATACCCAAAGAGGGCACACTCTAGGACAAACCAAAGAGAACAACCAAGGACCCAGAAACAAACAGCACGAATGCGAAACAGCCCGTCGGGCGTCGATGGCAACATATCCACGCCGGCGATGCAACTAAAAAACAGAGCGAAGACAACATGTTTTTATATTATCGGATTCCGGTACTCCATGCATGTACATCGAATGCCCTGGTAGTCGCGGAAAACGAGAGTAAAATACCAGACCAAGGCGAAACCTAGGACTCCATGTTTCCCACCGAGAATTTTCGAGTACATGGCGGGGGATCAGGCTCATTGCAAGCGGCAACTGGTGCATGTGTGCGTGTGTCAGAGAGGCAAAACAGTTTCCATAGTTGTAGGCACGACCCTTTGCCATTCTCCCCCCCGTAGCCCAACTACTTCCGATGAAGAACCTAAACGTACGGTGGTATCCATTCCTTGGCTTACTCGATGCGAGGCAAAAGGCCATTCAATTGCAGATTCGAGACCAGCAAACCACAAAACATCGATCGTCCGCGGTGCAGGAGGGAAATGAAACTAAATCACTAGATTACCGTATGGCTCTAGGTTGCTCTAGGTTCCCATCTCAGACAACTTGCGGAGGCAGGGGAGACAGAAAGGGTATGCATACGGTCACTCGCAAACAACGAACCCGTCGTCAATGTAGCGAGCAAAGTGTGCGCATACATCTCGTCGTCACTCACGGCTCAGGCGATGGAGTCCCGCAGAACACTGTGGAAGTACTTGTTGAAGAGGTAGTTCGGGTTTCCTGTCAGGTTTCACCGCCACACCGGCTGCTTGCTCCCCTCGTCGACCAGGCGGCAGGCGGATGTCCCAGTTGTGGAACAGGCATGCATCATATGCACTACGCACCGGATGGCCGAGGCAGGGAAAAATGTAAGGGACGTGCGCATCCGAAACATGTCCAAACCGGTCGCCGGATCGACCTTGCGCTTGTTGCCAACTCCTGCTGTCACATACTCCGCCACCGCCACCCAAATGGTGAATTCTCCGTCGGGAATGGCGTTGCTGCTATCACCTCGTCTCCAGTCGTTGCCTTGGTGCTCCAAAAAATTGGCCACTTTCCCGAGAGTCGTGCGACCTAGCCCTCGGTTTCCAGCTCGCTGGTCTTCGGCCTTGAGGTATATCTCGACATCATTGCCACGCGATGCCGCCGACCGGACCCACGTAGGGGTACCCGCGTCTTTAACCGGGCCGCCACGGATCGTGCCGATTCCAGCATTGACTTCCGCCGGAGCCTGGCCCCAATGGTTGAACACCACCACCGTCTGGCGGACGATGCCTTGGCCTCTGTTCCTCCAGCAAAAAGAGCACGTCCGCCTACTACACGGCGCCTCCTGCGAGGTCCTACCACACCCAAGCGCATCGTCGTAGCGCTTTTCTAGTTGCTCGGCGGATGGCAATGTTTTCGATATCGCCTGCTGCCATGCCGGGGCGTCCAGACCGGTCTCGATCCGAGTTGGACCCAACCCGGCATCCCACTGTTGGTAACCGTGCGGCCGCCCCCCCCTTCTTCCCGTCGTGCCGTCTTCTGAGGCTGCTGGAGTCGTTTGCAACGGCAAGATCTTGAATACATCCTGAAGCACTTCCCGGCAGAGAGGGCCAGCTGTCAACTCCTTCGTGACCTCGACCCCGCCTACGCGACCGTTCGCACTCCACCTGACGCCGTCGCACAACGCTTTCAGGGCTTGGGTGTCGTTCCAAGTCCTGAAAATATGAACCGGGTTGTCGCGTCCACTCGCGGATGTCGCCGACTTCTTCACTTCCTTGTGCTTAGATTCGCCAACGTTCGCGTTGCCCACCGCACCTTTCGTCCGAAAAAAAAAAAAGTCGATGACGCGGGCCATGGTTCTGGTTAGGGCGGGTACATTGGTCCCACCGGCAAGGCTGTCTCATTCATTAGAAATCTCGCTTCGCTCGAATAATTTTAATAGCTTTTGGTGGGAAGGTGGCCCGATAGGGGGTGGCTTTTTGCTTAAGCAAGCTCAAAATCAATTAGAGGAACCGGACATGTGATGTGCACAAGTGAAAAAAAAAAGCTCGCACAGGGGGGGGGGGGCAAAACGCACCTGCGGGTGTGTCTGTCTGTCTGTCTGTCCCACCACAACATACCCAGGAAAAACTAGGCACCATATCACAAACCAACACTTGTTCCTAACAAGTAGCATTTTTGTCCGAACTGTCACCACACCACTTGCTTCCAGCTCAATCCGTGCTCGGGGCCGAACTTGAATTAGGGACCAGCCGTCCCCCCCCCCCAAAAAAAAGGCAGTATTTTTTTGGTTCTCTGGGGCTACTGCTGGGGGGCTGCTACTGGCAAAAAACAGGAAACATACAGTAACACGTAAGGGCCGGAAACACACACCACCGGGAAAACGAAACGGAAGGGCGTGTCCTATTCTACTGCTGCTGCTAGCTATCGGCGGCGGCTGTGTCCTCCTTTTTTGTGCGT